CTATTCTAATAACATAAGTTGTCTCATCGATATCAACCATATGAAAGTTTTAGAGAGATCTTTCTTGGTTTTATATAACAAACCAAGATCACTACTAGCTAGTAAAATATCATCCACATATAGTATCAGAAGTATAAACTTACTCCTACTAATTTTTAAATATATACACTAATCAACAACATTTTTCTTAAATTTGAAAGATGTAATGGTATCATTAAACTTTATATACCATTGTTTGAAAGCTTGTTTAAGAACATAAATGGATTTCTTTAATTTGCAAACTAAGTGTTCTTTTCCTTTCTTTATGAACCCTTCAGGTTGATCCATATAGATATCTTCATCTAAATTCTCATTTAAGAAAGCAGTTTTCACATTCATTTGATATAACTCTAAATCAAAATGTGATGCAAGGGCATAATGATTCAAAATGAATCTTTTTTAGAAGCTAGAGAGAAGGTATCTCTATAATCTATACCTTCGTTTTGAGTAAAACCTTTTGCCACTAGTTTAGCTTTAAATCGTTCGATACTACCTATAGCATTGCGTTTGGTCTTGAAGACCCATTTATAATCGACACTTGTACAATTATCAAACAATTTGATAAGATCCCAGACATCATTATGGTTCATAGATTTCAACTCTTCTTTCATAGCTTCTATCCATTTATTAGAATCATCACTTTTCATGGCTTATGAAAATGTAACCGGATATGTTTTTATCCCAATATCAAAATCAAATTCTTGTAGATATACCACATAATCATCTGATATAGCATATTTCCTTCCTTTGAGATCTTCTCAAAGGTATTTATTGGGGTTGTTTTATAACATTTTCAATGACGACATCTTCTTGTAGTAATGAACCATTTCCATTATGTAGCTCATTTTTTGTAACTTGTTAAGAAGGATGAGCAAGAGTTGTTTCTTGAGGCAAAAATGATGGTAGGATATCCATTCTTATTTCTTTAAAGTTTATTTTTTTTTGTTCTTCACTCTTACTGATTTTGTCATTTTCTAAGAATCTAACATTGCCAGCTTCAACTATTCTGGTATCATGGTTAGGACAGTAAAATATATATCATTTAGACTTATTTGGATAACCAATAAAATATCCAGATATTATTCTTAAATCTAACTTTTTCTCATAAGAATTAGAGATTCTTGCCTCCGCTGGACAACCCCATATATATATATATGTGTCTTAAACTTGGTTTTTTACCAGTCCACGACTCGAAAGGAGTTGCAGATATTGCCTTACTAAGAACTCTTTTCAAGATATACATTGCAGTATTCAAGGCTTCACCCCAAAAAGAAATAGGTACAGAAGTGTAACTCATCATACTCCTAACTATTTCCATTAAAGTACAATTATGTCCTTCAGCAACACCATTCTGCTGTGGCGTAACTGGCATTGTGTATTGAACACGAATGCCATTAGGGTTGCTTTGATAACGACTTACCAAACCAACCGCAAACAAATGTTCGGTCATGTACACATAACATACATCAAACTGCCTATTGCACTAGTATAAAGAACGTTGCTTTTTTTTTTCTCCTAATTTGTCTTTAGATACTGGTCAAGACTTAAAGTTAGACCCCTATAAACATAAATGTCAATAAGTTTAGACTAATGCATCCGAAATCGTTCCAAAACTTTCTTAACTGGCATTGTCCTAAAAGCTTATTGAGACAGTCTCTCATTATTTCAACGCCAAGGACAAACTCGGCTTCACCCATGTCCTTTATCTAAAAAATAGAGGACAACCACTAGTTAGTGGCATTGACTATCTCTATGTTGTTTCCAGCCAATAATATGTCATTAACGTATAAGGAGAGAAACATAATCCTCGTTGTTTTCTTGATATACACACAATGGTCTTCATCCACCATGGAAAAGCCAAATGAAATAATAAATTCATGAAATTTGAAATACCATTGTCTGAAAGACAGTTTAAGACTATATATGGATTTTTTTAAGATGATAAACTTTGTTTTCTTGACCTTTTGAGGCAAACCGAATAGGTTGATCCATATATATTTCTTCCTCAAGTGTGTCATTGAGGAAAGAATTTTAACATCCATTTAAAATAACTCCAAGTCCAAATGGGCAAACAGGGTTAGAAGGAGGCGCATAGAGGTAAATCTTACCATAGGAGAAAAAGTCTCTTCATAGTCTATACCTTTAATTTTGGTAAAACCTTTTACCACTAGTGGGACCTTAAAATTTTTAATTGATCCATCCACTCTATGTTTTACCTTGAAAATCCACTTGTTTATAATTGATTTACGTCAAGGTGGGAGATCAATTAATTCCCAAACCTTACTTCTCGTCATTGAGTCCATCTCATCCCTCATGGCCTTAATCCACTCTTTACTATTTGGTGAATTCACACCCTCCTTGAAGGAGATGGGTTCCTCAATTTCTAAAAGAGTGCAAAGGAAAATTTCTCATTCAATTTGGAAAATATCATCGGGAAATTTTTCCCATCACCTATTTGACTAGATAATAAATCCCTCCTATTGTCCCTTGTTGATGTGAGATTTAGAACTTGAGGAATAACCTCATGTTCCATGCTCGAATCTTTAGGACTAACCACATTTTTCAGTAGATTATAATTTGTAAGCAAGTTTCC